CATTTAGTAATTTAGCGAAATCATTGGGTCTAGAGGTCTCCTGGACCAAGACCAAGATCCATGACTTTGGGGACTTGCTAGAATAGAGTTTTACATACCTTGGTAGTATAGTTAATAACTCTAGGCTGTCAGACCACGAAGCCAGTAGACGGATTGGCCTGGCAGCAGCGGTCATGAACCCTCTCAACAAAGAGTATTTGGAGATGCAGAAGGACCAAGTTTTGTATTTTCAAAGCCCTAATAGTACCCGTTTTATTATAAGGCAGTGAAACCTGGACGTTATCCTATGCTTTGTAATAGGTCCTTGCGCCGGTGCCAATCTCACGATCACCGTGAGACTGGCACAGAACCTGTTACTTGCATAATCCGTGATTGCCAACTCAGGCCATACGGCCACCTGGTTTACTTCCCACGGGATGATCGTGCTCACAAGGTTGTTTCTGTCCGAGACAACCCTGGATGGAGGAGATCTGTTGGATGACCTTGGCAGATCGATCAAACCTGTCATGAGGAGCTCGAGATGGGCCAAGTCCCTACCTGGTGGCTCGCCAGGCTGAAAAGCAAAAGCCATGGTTAATGGCCGAGGAAGATAATGATGATATTGCAGACTGAAGGAATTGGCGGAGATTTGTTATGGATGTGCCAGGGGCGTAGATGGTTAAATCATCAACATATAGTGATGCCCGGGCTCCTCATGGTAGAACCAAGACAATGCCATTAACAAGATGGAATAGAGGTGCTGAGCACACTGCCTTCCGGGACGCCTTCGAACTGAGGAAAGGATGCTGTGGAAGAGGCAATTTCGACCTGAAAAGTGCGTTTAGAGAGGAAGACTTTATGAATGGTTAATGGTTAAAAGTGAAATAAATGTGCTAGACATCTAAGGTCATGTAGCACTATAGGAAGGTTCAGTAAATGGTGGGGAAGGATGGTTGAGTTAGCAGTTAGTTGCTATGCGTCAGCTATCTAGAGTAATTTTGATGAGGTTAAGATGGATAAGAATTGAGTGAATGGCTTACAGTGGGTTAGGGATGGGGATCAGATCAAGTGAAGGACATGAATACGTCTGAGGAAGGAGAACAGGTTGTCAAACCAGAAAGTGGCGTTCTGTAAGGATGTCTAATGGGTTGGGAGGTTGGTGAAGCGAGGATAGGTGGGGGGAAGCAGAGGTGCTGGTTCTTGCAAAGCGTGAACAGGACAACAGAATGTATGGAAATGAAAGAGGGACATAACGTAGGGAACATATCAGATAGGAGTGTGAAGAAAGGATTTGACGAAGGTCAGGTCTGTGAGAACGGAAACCGCGAATAATCCATTATAGGATAGTTATTACTTAGTTGACCTATGAGTGATAATAGTTGGAGGGAGTAGGAGGAAGGGGTGTAGGGGGAATATGAGTAGGAGGAGGATGGATATCGGCAGTCACTTTGAATGAGGAGGGGGTGGGAGGAGTTTGGAGGGGTGGATAAGGGTTCGCAGTGTCATTTTGAGTTGATAGGGGAGTTTTGTGAGAAAGGTTTTCTTATGAGGAGGGAAAAGGAGACTGGTGTCTGAGGAGTAGAGGCAAAGGTAGGTAGGTGTGTGTGTGTGTGTGTGGTAAAAGGGGTGGAACATTTAGTCTGTCTGCTGCGGGTAGTACGGGGGAGGGGGTGGTAAGACTACAGACGAGATTGCAGTGTCTGGATCTAGTGGCAAAAAAATTTGGGGAGGGTAGGAGGTAGAAGTGGGGAAGTAAGATGTAGGAGGGATAGGTAAAGGGGAAGGTGTAGGAACATCTTGGGAAGGAGGGGGAGGGGCAGAGCGAGTGACATTACTGGAGTAGGGTGTGAGGAAAAACTCATTGACGTGCTTCCTGTCTGGCTTCACGTAGAGTGAGACCAAGTCTGAACCTGAGAGTTGCGACCTCAGACTCAGACTTGTAGGTCGGGTCGCCCCTATGAAATACATTATGGGGGTCGCCGCAGTTGGCAAATGTGCGTGACTGTACAGAGCAGTTTAATTGGTTATGGCCAGGTTGAGCACATAGAGGGTATCGGGCTGTGGAACGGCAGTGTTTGGCAGCATGTCCTAATCGCCAACAATTTTCACATTGACGGGGAGGTTGATATGGTCGGACAGGGGGGGATTCTACACCAATGTAAACATTAAAGGGAGTCATATTTACGGAAAGTAATTCTGACGATGTTGGTGGGGTTCTTACGATGACCTCTAGGAGGAATGGAGTAGCACTGTACACAGTACATTGAGTTCCGAGGAAGAAAAAGGAACATCATAGAATTCATCAGAGGAAACCGTGATGATGATGGGGGGTGCGTTCCCTGATACTCTTAATGGAAGGTAAGTGTGGGGAAAGGCGATAACAACATGCAGGGGATTGGGGGGGGGGGGGGGTAGAGTAAGGGCTGATGGGGAATCGCATAAAAACGATCCCATTTGACTGAGCTAAACAGAGTACTCAAAGGTTTGTAGAGGGATGAGGACACGAGGAAGAGGGAGTGGTGGGGAGTGAAGTAATGCTGCGAGGGGAGGCAATACGGTTAAAGGGTTGTAACAAGGGAGGGGATGTAGGAAGAGACGATTAAGCAGATGGGGGGGGGGGGATTTTGAGGAAGTTTTAATTTGGGATGATGATTTATGATTAAGCTGACAGTAACTGTCAAGGAGGGGGGTGAAGTAGCAGTGGCTAGAGCCGTAATCAAAGGAGTCAGGGGGTCGGTAAACCAATGGAGTTAGAGTCAGGGAAGCTAGTTTATAAAGATGCAAGCTTTAATACCCCTAATAAGGATACAAAATCTTCACAAAATATCATGCAATATTAGTTGAGGCGAGGGCTGAGGCCCAAGGTAGGGGATCCCCAGCGTTGGGTCCCAGTCCTTGTGTCCTTAGCCCACCCCCCTTCACGACAACAACGAGCAAGGGTTTGGGGGTTGTTTGTGTTTGTGTGTATTGTGTCTGTGTGTTTGTTTGTGTGTGTGTGTGTGTGTGAGGTGTGTGTGTGTGAGGTGTGTGGGGGGTGAGGTGTGGGGGGGTGGGGGGGTGAGGTGTGTGTGTGTTGGGGTGGTTGTGGAGTTGGTGTGGGTGTATATATGCGTTTAAATTTTGGTCATTCACTTGGGAAAACACTATGATGAAAAGGATTAAAATAAATCAAACAATGACTGATATATTTATATATTTTGACTCTTGAAGATAATAAAATCACAGATTTATAGTTTAAATAGACTTCTTTAAGTATTTACATATTGAGTGAGCATAAGAAACTGTCTGAAATGAGTGAAGTGGAATGAATTACATAGAGCTGTATACTTCAGTCACACTTGCTGGATCTGTAACACATGTCCAAACCTTCAGCATGTCCCATCCCTCAGTTTTTAGGATTGTACAAAATCTAATGACCTAGACATTAGAAATACCTTTTTGGAGTACAGTTTTGCTTGCCTCAAGACATCTAAGGGAAACAGGACTATCCATTTGTTATAATAGCTTTGTGCAACTCATTACACAATCCAGACAAGGTTAGAGTCAGATACAGCACAGACAACTTGCGCGCTTGACTGCTGCGCAAATAGAAACAGGAGCAGGAGGCAGATGATCTGTGATTTGTAACTTTAAACTTGGTTATACACAAAAAATTGGCTCTATTTTCTATTCATAAAAATGCCTTACTACGGTATTCCCCAAAGCTTAAATTTACTCATCACAAAACCATTTGCAGAATCAATAATGCCACTTGGGAAAGAATACTTCAACCACAGCCCAACCTTTGAGGCCAGCACTGCCACAATGATGAAACAGGTAAAACAATGCTATGTACAAGTTAGATGAGATGTTAATAGGAGACGAGCTGACAGACTTTGCTATAACCTTGGCGGCAAGACTGTAATCTTAATCTTAATGTAAATGGTTGTACTTTTATACATTCAAACTTTACATTTGTATAATAATATGCATTCACTTTGGCTTACACTGATGTCCATTTAAATAGATATTCAAAATTAGCAATATTACATTTCTTTATATCTCCTTTACAATTAGCATCTGTGGATGTAATGACAGAGAGGAGTGCAATGTCATGATAAATAAAACAAACCATACAAATACTGGAATGAAAATTAGGCCCAAGAATCAGTTACTGCTTTTTCACCACAATGTTAAAACCTTTGCATCTACCTTTCCACCTACAAAACAAATATATAAGAATTTATTAGCAACTAAATATCTGGCATAAACGTGCACCGACTAGCAGCTGGCAACACTATCACATGCTCCTGTCAGTGCGATACAACACACCACTGTGAGCTTTCCTTGCACATGCTTATCAGGTGTAGACATAGCTTCACACTGACTCTTGAAGATGTCTAATCTTATACAATGTATGTATAAATGTTTCTAAAAGCATATACATATAAATAAATAACCATTATATGTATACATGTGAATAAGAGTGAGAGTGAGAGTGAGAGTGAGAGTGAGAGGGATAGGGGGATAGGGATAGGGATAGGATAGGGATAGGGATAGGGATAGGGAGAGGGAGAGGGAGAGGGGAGGGAGGGAGGAGAGAGAGAGAGAGAGAGAGAGAGAGAGAGAGAGAGAGAGAGAGAGAGAGAGAGAGAGAGAGAGAGAGAGAGAGAGAGAGAGAGAGAAGAGAGAGAGAGAAGAGAGAGAGAGAGAGCAGAGAGAGAGAGAGAGAGAGAGAGAGAGAGAGAGAGAGAGAGAGAGAGAGAGAGAGAAGAGAGAGAGGAGAGAGAGAGAGAGAGAGAGAAGGGGAGAGAGAGGGGAGAGAGAGAGAGAGAGAGAGAGAGAGAGAGAGAGAGAGAGAGAAAGAGTGAGAGAAGAGTGAGAGTGAGAGTGAGAGTGAGTGTGAGTGTGAGTGTGAGTGTGAGTGTGAGTGTGAGTGTGAGTGTGAGTGTGAGTGTGAGTGTGAGTGTGAGTGTGTGAGTGTGTGAGTGTGAGTGTGAGTGTGAGTGTGAGTGTGAGTGTGTGTGTGTGTGTGTGTGTGTGTGTGTGTGTGTGTGTGTGTGTGTGTGTGTGTGTGTGTGTGTGTGTGTGTGTGTGTGTGTGATTATAACCATTATAATAATGATAAACATACTGTTGTGCATGTGTTTGTATATCCACATGTATAGTGCCCACAAAAAAATGCTTGCACATCCAAAACAAAAGTTTACATATTACTCTATGTAAAGATTCTACTTGCATTGAATGGCAGCAAGAGAGCAAAAGGTGTTATGACATGCGCACCTAGGTCTACCTCTGCGCTGTGGGCTTTGATAAAGGAGGAGATAATATTTCTCTCCTTCAACCTGTGTATTTCACTCTTGGGCCCAGGCTGAGATCTAAATATTTCTTTTTAGACTGCGAAACAGGTCAAACACGGTCAATAACATTAGAAACACTGAAAATCCAAGAAATAAAAAAGAACCTGACCAAATATGAAAATCAAGGAAATACCTGCTGTAAATGTTTTTTGTATGCAAGCAATTTTTTGGCATCACCTTGTTTATGTATGCCAGTATTTATGTATACATATGTATGTATGAATGTCGATACACATTTGCAAGTGCTCATGTCTCTGTCTCTCTCTTTAACAAAGAAAAAAAAAATTAGCACTTTCACTCTCTTTTCATTAGCATATGCACTCACATAAATTTATTTTAACTCAATCATGAAAAAAGAAGAGAAAATATCAGTTATTATTCTAGTAAGGCAAAAAACTGATTCATGAAAGTAAGCACTGTTATCACAATTCACTGTTTCAACTCCACTTCTGCTTTCTAAACTGATTGCTATCAAAAAAGTCCAGCTGGAAAGACAAAACAATCCATTCACTAGTTGACAGTGAAGCACCTTATACTGAAATGTTCTAGTGCTACCTAGTGTAGCTGAAGAGTTGACACATTTTACTGAGATTAGAAAATAAATTCAAAATTAATGACTAAAATACCTGTAACAATTAGTGTTACAGAAACTGCTGTTTCACAAGCAACACATTGTTTTGTTTAACATAACAAAAGTAACAAGCTGTTACAAAACAAGCTATAAAAAAATAATGCCATGTGTTCAAAGGCTCCATTAGTAACTTAAAACCAAGACCTGCTAAAATCAATGAATATCTAGTAAATAATTTTCACAAGATAGAGCAATTTCTTATACATTTGTAAATACACAGTAAATATTTTCTTTCTCTCAAACTAATGCATATCTTTACCATTGCCGCAAGATTAACAGATCTTTTAATGTAAACATGCAAGAACTTTAAAAAATCAAAACAATGCGCAGCACTGAAACTGAAACATTCCCTTTCCACCATTTTTCAGGATTACTCCACTACTCATATTAGCTTTCTCCCTTCTGTTTGAGGAACATGAATTACTGAATCTCTTAAATGCAAGAGTATTGTTAAATCCACCAACGCACCATTAGCCCTGCTGTTGTGTACAATGTAAAGGCTATAAATTGCAACATCTTTTGTTAAAATGGTTCAACCACATGAACTTGTCATGCCTATGAAGACTGCAGAATACCTATTACTACAAGCACTATAAAGAAACTGACAAAGTTGTAAATTTGTCAGCCAGAGCACACCTACCCATGCCTAAATTCTCACACTTTCTCTCGTCTTTACATTATTATTTTTTCTGTTTAAAAGCCTGAGTACAGGTGCATTTTCTAAGCAAATAATTCTCAAAATTATTATCATTAATATTTTCCAAAAAATATTTATACAATTAATACATACAACCATAAACAAATTAATGCATAAATATAGAACTGTATATCATACATACATACATACACATATGAATGTTTATTTAGGTATGCATGCACATACCTCTGTATGTATGTGTTATGTATGTCAATGGTATGTGTTTGCATATGTGTGGTAGCATATGTGCTTGTGTCCATGTGTGTGACTTAACTTCCTGGAATATATATGCTGCTGGCAACTTGAGCCCAAAGGCTACAGAGTTCAACACATGATGTGGAGGGATTCTTAGTATTCCAGTCTTACCATGCCTTATCACACAAAATAAGAAATGCAATGTAATTTGGTACAAATTGTTGTGCAGAAAGCCATGAAAATTTGAGAACTTAGAATTCTATGAATCAAACTATAAAAGCTTTAGTTAAATAAAAACAAGACAAAAAATCTCAAAAAGGCATTTCCGGACTATATAAATTGCACCACTGAAGAAAGTGCACTTGGTCCTCTTAAAAAAAGGTTAATAACAGGGAGTGACAGAAAAAGCAAACAGCCAAAACATTCAGAGAAGACAGCAGTTTTTTTTTCATGATCTCTTTTCATCTTTGACTTAAGGGAAAATCTACTGTGACTGGAATGTAGAGTTTGACATACACAATTCAGGGCTGGTTGATAAACAAGGTAATGTTAACTGGTTCCAACACCTAACTGATGAAACTTTGGAATATTTCAAAATAGAGTCTTGGTGAAAAGTGAGGGAAGTTCAGTAACCTTAATAAATTTGACTTATGTAGACAAAATAAATGGAATGGCTAATGTTGCACAGAGAAAATATCAATAATGATAAAAATGGTAATAATGGTAATGTTAACAGAATAATAACAATCAAATTTAGAGTAAAATATCTATAAAATAAAAATCAAACAATTGCAAAATAATGTTCAAACCTAAAGGAATGACTAACCCAATAAGTGGCAAGAATTGATACTCTAGACAAACTCAACTCAACTAAACTTATACAGGACAATATGGGGAAAAAACAACCTTCTACCATCATAAACTTGTAGCATTAGAAGTGTAGGTAATTCGACAACTTACAGTGTGATGGAATGACAGAAAATGTGACATCTCAGATGGTTCAGGAAAACATGCTGTACTTCACACAAATCTATGGCACAAGATGGTCTGCCAAATACAAGGAATGCTACACTCTGCAACTTGCAAATAAAGTCTTTTCCTCTATTTTCATACAATCCTTTTTTTTCAATTTCCAAATGCAACTGCTCAACACTTTCCATGACTAGAATAAATATGGCCCTTTCAATTGGGTCTCCGATAACTACAGTTCGTGACCAAGGCTATGTTCATTATATGATGCAACTTCAAAAATACTGCAACACATCTAATTACATTACTATTGGATTTGGACAATATGGATAATAGTATCAAATATCATATCATAAAAAAATACTAAGAGTAGCTCATACATATGAACAAGCATTAGAGGAGAACAAGACAATAAAATCCTCAGGTCTGTGGCCACAGAAATCACCTTCTTCTGGCATTTCACTGCGGCACTTAATCCTTTCCTAAAACCTTGTCAAACTACGCAAAATCAATCAAAACATTTGGATCAAAAGTTAGTTATAAAAGCATCATTAAGCAAGCAAATGGTATCTATGTATCACTTTCTCAATGGTTCCACTTCATCACAAAAACTGGAAAGAAAATTTTAGAATTATTGGAGTCCCAAAATAGTGTATATCAAACTGTTCTCTCAATTATGAGATTTATAAGTAATGTTATATCCATTGGGTATTTGTTCATGTCAAATGTTTATATGGTGTCTACAAACTTCTCAACAATTTCCAGCCCACAATCACTGATAATTTTTTTTTTTTTTTAATCGCTAAAAAAGAACTTTTCCATACTAGGAAAATACTTGAAAAATAACACCCAACATTATTTTATGACTGCACATTAATACATCATACTTCTATACAACAATACATAATACATGGCCGCTTTTAACAATAGCTATTCATAAGTAACACTTTTATGATAGCTGCCACATATTATCATTAGTATAATAGTAAGATCACCAAATTTAAAATGAACCGTTCTGAAAGCTAGAAAATTAATATTCATACTTATATGAACACCTGGGCTCATTCAAGCAAATCTATAAAATTATCTTAATACTGTGTTGAATACTTTAAAGGTTACTGTTATATCAAATCAAAAACAGAACTTGAAGTCAACTTTGCTCATAGGAATCTATAATACAACTGATCACTACCTATAAAGTCCAGAACCGTGATAAATTCCCCCCAAAACTTCCCTCGTTAGAATGTGGAACAGTGATACAATGAGAGGGAGAGGGAGAGGGAAAGGGAGAAAGAGGAAAGATATGGGGGAAAAGGAGAAAAGCAGGAAGGGAGAAAAGGAAAAGGAGGGGAAGAAAAGAGAGAGAAAGGAAAGAGGTAAAGATGGAAGGAAAAAGTGATATGACAAGAACGAAGATAAGATAAGAAAAGATGAGAAGGATGTAAAGACGGGGAGATGGGGAGGAGGAGGAAAGAAGGGAATTAAGATGAGTAGCAAAGAGTCCACACTGGATATACAGCTAGAAGTCTAAAGCCTAGTGTAGCCTTATAGGTGAGCACCAATCTATGGTAGATGTAAATTTTAACCAAAGGCATTCTGTGTTCAGAGACCTGGGATTGTTTATTCCACCAGTAGCACCAAATTTTTACAGGTTGCCAGGATCAGTGCTGCTTGGCTGTTCACCATCATCCCAACACAATCAAAGTTTAATTTAATGTTACACTTTAGAAGAATTATTGCCGCAGGTGACCTTTGACTTTGTTGGGTTAATGGCTTAACAAAACCACTTCAAAGTTCATGGACATTGTAGCCAGTCTGAACCTTTGAGGCTCACTTAGTTGGCACTTTATGGTCATTTCCAAGGAAATGAAAGCATGGCATTCATAGTTACATCAAGGAAATGCAAAAGTCAGGCAATAAACATTCAACTGCAATCAAACCTTTGTTTCATAATTTCATTTTTCTACTCAGCTATAAAACCTAGTAATAAATAAAATCAACAATGACCACTTCTTGCAATACTGGAACTCCATTTTCAGTCCAGTTTAAAACATGGGCTTTAAAACTGCTAAACAAAAGACCCTAGTACAGCCTTACCAAATCAAATCTAAATATTGTATGAATTCTCTCTCTACCCTTCCCTCCTCTCTTTTATATACATTTACTCATCACTTTCTATCTATTACCTTACTGTTCATGACTGAGGCATGAGTCCTTCTATATATAGTTTTTCCTTTGGTATAGGTCCCAATTACTTTTGAATTTAGAAGAGTCCAGCACTACAGCACTCCCCTTTTCAATAACATACTCTTCTTAACAACAATAAACATGTTTCATTTAAGAATTAATATTTCTTAAACTGCACACTACCTATAAAACATTATATATATATTCCTTCGAATATACATTCCGTTGAAAAGCTTTGGACCCTTTGCAAAGTTCTTCACCAATTCTTTTTCACTTCTATGGAGATGCATGTTAATAACATGTAACTGGTAAACATATGTCATGGCAAGAAGAGTCTCAAATCAAATTTCGTGTTCTTTCATATCATCTGATCAATATCTCCTTTTAACCAAAGAAGTATAGTATATACATAAAATTAATTTAAAAAAATAATAATAATGACAAAAATAATAATGAAATCAACAAATAAAATACATATTTCCCACTTGTGCAGTTGGTTTCAAAGTTTTCCTTAGCCACTCTCTCCCCTTACAAATATAATCAATTAAGATTTTCTCCTTGAAGGCCACCAAATGTTGTTGGACACAGTAAAGACTTGTCTTCGTCTTTGATTCTCATCATTGCTCAACTGTTTCAGCAATATTGTGCAGAACTAGACCTTTTTCATCTTTCTTTTCAACTCTACAATTGAAGCACTTTGTGACTACTCACAAATTCCTGAGTGCTCATCATTCTGGACTGATAGGAGGTTAGTACTTCTGTTGTAAAATAATCATCCACATAAATGAGAATTGAGACCACACAAGCATTTATTCATCATCATGTAATGCTTCAAAAATAAAGTCTTTGTATTTCTGCCATAAGTTTAGTATTGTTACCCTAAATTATGAATAAAGAGCAGAGTAACCACAACAATGGATTGCAGTCCAGAAGGCAACTTGTAGAGAATTAAATGGATTAATATGCACTTGAAATGCAGAAATGTCTGCAGCAGCTTCCATAGTTCAATAATGTCATTTTCAGATAATACAATTCTAAAAAGAAATAATGGCTGTAAATCCTGAAAGACACTGAGAAATCCTTAATAACTATTTTAACATCTAAAGGTGAAATACCTTTCTATAATATAACAACATACATACACAATCATAACTGATAAATTATACTAAATAGACAGTTAACTGAGGACTATCATCACCCTCAACTGTAAAGCTAACAATCTTCTTTCATCAATAGCCTATTTAACCAAAAACATTTTAATGCAACTCTGCTGCCTATTTAGAATAATTAAGAATCAATACAACAAATAAAGAATTCAATATGGAATTTATAAAAAAGAAAAAGAAAAAAGAAAAAAATTGAGGCCCTGAGCAGTGCCCCTACAAGGACTATCTTGGCTTTATGGCTTCTGTGCTGTATAGATAGAAAAAAATATAAGTCTGAAGTCCATTATCATAGCTAAACAAAGGTTTTTTTTTAAGCACTACTCATGGCTACAATCATTTCAACTGACATTCTGAAGATTTCACACACACTCAACTCTGAAGTACCAGCATACATAAAAGATTCCACATCACACTTAGTAAATAAAAAGTCACTGCTAGGTTTTCATACAATCTATAAGTTGTTGGCAGAGTTGGTTATACTGAAGATCATCTCCTGACACTCTCCTCAATTTAAGGGCACGAGAGTCTGCAGCAGGACCCTCATGCACCTCCAAGTCCACCTGGGCCCCAGTTGGGTCCCGCACCGAAAGACCACAGTCTCGAACACCTTCTGAGACTATGGAAGGGGCTCGTCTTTCAAGCATATCCATTATATTACCTACTAAATCTTGCTGAGCCATGCCTGACCACTTGTTTGGTAGCGTTATCACGAAAGAGCCACTTCCTGTTTTAGGCAATTCTAGTTCTATAATATTGTGTTCCCCCAGGGGTGATCTATCCCCTGATGGACTTACATCTGCCATTTCTGTGTCACTTTCACCTGTTCCTCCATTAGGGAATGGTGGAAAGCTGTGCCTATATTCCATGCTAGTGATCAACATGTGGTGATGTGGAGGTCCGGTTATAGCATTTTGTCTAACCAAGTTACGTTCATTACGAGCTCTATGGACGTTGTTGTTATCTGCTGGAGACCTTCGTGATGCAATCAAACCAGCAGTTCCTCGAGTTATTGAGGGTGCTTGCGTATCATATTGCCCTACATACGGCAACGGCGAGGAATCAAGACTTAAACCTTTGAATAAGCGTTGGGAGGACAGCGGTGAAAACATGGTCACAGGGTCAGGAGACAGCGGAGATGGAAATGGGGAAGAATCCATGTCATCTGATATATCTGGGGACGAATCTGACGATGAAGCAATGATGATCTGATCTCCACTCTCGTCAGTAATGGATATCTGAGGGTTTTGTGTGAAATTATGTACAATGCTTGGGTTGCGATGAGGTACACGAGACCCTCTTGGAGGCTCCTCCCTTATGCTATCCAATCCCAACGGAGGAGGGGAGGGCCCAGACCGAGGTACGTGGCCAGGAGGTGGGGGAGATAGTGGAGCACCAGGACTTAACAAGGATGCAGGGGAAGAAGGCTGTGGAGACAATACCAAAGGTGGAGACTGACGATGAGAAGGGCTGCGAGGTCCACCAGGCGAAGAAGGAGGATGGAGCTGTAGACGACTTAAACTGAGAGCTGTTCCTTCTATGCTACTCCCACTGTGGTGTAGAGGTGAACCTAAAAATAAAAGAATGATTAGCTTTCCATACTGATTAAAAGGGACTATTAAATGATTATATGAAAAATTTCAATACACTTGATGATTGTCTTTATCATTAAAGACAGTCCTCTTACTTATAGAAAAAAAAAATATATTTTCAAAATTAGTAAAATGTTAAAGTTCACATCAACTCCAAAAACAAGTTTACTAGTAACTGACTTCACACAAATTATAAAAATATATATATCTTCTCACTCTTTACATTTGCTACTTTAGACTAAATTAGGCTATAGTGTACACAGAGGCAAGTGTTAATTTGATAAAGGTCAAACATTACTTTGGGATTCTCTACAACTGTCCCAATTCCTTAACTAAAAGAAAATCTGTCTTACAAAAGTTTAATCTCTGCATAGAATGCATATCAAACGATTGTTAACAATATACTTCTACCATTCAAAGTAATTCAGAAAATATGAAATAAGTTTAACGTTCACTCTAAATATGATACATGTCTCCACAACGTTTTTATAAGGCTGATAAATATAAACTTTAATTCTGCAAATTCATGCATTAAGTGCCCTCAGCTAGAAAAGTATACCATTATGACTGTATTATAGAAATACATTTGAAAAATATATATCATGAAGAATTATTAGTAACACCAATATAGAAAAATATTAGATTTCCCTTAACTCCTCAGTGATGTGTACGGCTATAGCCATCATGACATAACAGCCTATGACGTGTATACGCTTCACAACATGCAGCAGGTTGGCCAGCTGTACCCAGCTTAGGCCTAGCCACAAAGTAGTCTAAACTGTTGTGTAATATTACATCACAAATAAATCAGACCCCGTCACCAAAGGGCTAAGTCGCTATCACATTATACTAACGCTCTTCATACCTCAGGAGATGTGGTATGTATGTAATGAAGTTAAAACAAAAAAGTCTTCAAACTAGTTGGCATATCATTCAGCTCATACCAAAATTCATTCCTGCCATTTGAATCTATGATAATGCTAGTAAGTGTAAATCTAAATGAAGCTTAATATTTATAAGCCCACTGGGATAAATCAACTTAAGTTTTATCCTACTGCCAACAGGGATGACATACATACATGCCATGTCCACTTGGAGTTTAGTTTAGTAACTGTGTTTACACATACATGGTTCCACAAGTGATTGTTTACCAAGGAGTCAAGTACTACTCTTACCTATCTCATCTGTGTACCCTTTTTTAATCTTTGGCAATTTATTTTACATTGATATTAGTATTGTTAATAAAATAATAATTATAATAACACGAATTTTAATGAAAATAATAACAGTAAGATCATTAAAAGCATTAGAAGAAAATGCATTTCTCCTGAAAATTCAAGGAAAGAAGAAATCCGGTGAGGTCACATAGGCCTACTAACTGATTGCTTGATGGATGAGCACTTGTGGAGCCAACTATGTTTAAAGATAGTGCATAAAACAAAACTAAAATCGGTTAATATACCTATTCAAAAAATGTATGTTTTATAATAAAACATAATGGTGAACCACTCTACATTGCACAGGCTAACAAAATATCAATTAATATATATAAGTACTTCCTTAAACACTTGACAACAAGAACAAAATTGTTTCTATATCTTTTACTAACAGCAATATGGTACATATTCACCACCCATCCAGAACAAAGATGGATTGAAATACTTTTTATCTTATTGCGACTATGTTCCATTCTAATCTGATCCATACTTCATATCTATTTGGTTTATACTTTCACATGTATTTATCAATTCCTCTTTTTCTCATGTTCCACTGTTTCTCTGTCATACATATCATACAATCATGATTTATGTAAAAGCTACTGGAACCTAAAATTGAGGTTTGAACAAGTCTAAACACAGTGGATTACAAAGAATAAATAAAAGATTCAATGAAGACATTGGACATAAAACATCAAATAGAGTTCGAACAATCATTTTCAAAAATATTTTTAAATATTATAGACTTAATTCATATAAACTGAATCCCAAACTAAACTAAGAAAGAAATTCTGATAGAAGATGTCTTTCAATATAGCCAAATCAATGGTGTCTTTTCTTTGAGGATATGATTTATTCAAGATATATTAGACTATGTTCAGAAACCCATACTTCTCATACAGCCTCTCTTCCTTTCCCCTTTACTTTCTACTTATCCTCTTTTCCTCAACCCTTACTCTATTCCATTTTTATCATATTATATCTCTCCTCTTACTCACTCACTCACTTAGTCACTCACATACACATACATACCAACTAATGCAAAGACTGATAGATAAACAGACACACAAACAGACAGACAAACCAACACACTGACTGACTGAGACAGACAGACATATACATTCATGTGCATAAACAAATACAAGCACAAACACTCACATTTATACTCTATACTAACACTTACCCTCTCTCAGTCATTGAATCATTTTCTTTCCCCTTCAAACAACTTCTGACTACAAATTAAATCAACATAATTTTCACGGTTGAATTTCACACCACAGCAGTCTCTACAGAATCATGCAAAGGCAGAGTTTAAGAATAAAAAAAATAAAAAAAATATATTATACTAGTTAGTATGTAATTATACATATATATAAAGAAAAAACAAGGTACAATCAACCAATCAAAGCTATTCTCTCTTCCAGTTTCCAAGTCATCAATGGAGTGAGAAGGTGTAAGGAAGTACTCTAAAATCCATACAGAGAAAAAGGGAAATGGATGCCACTACAGACACATGCCATCTTCAAACTTTTCAAGCCCTTTTATGAGAGGGAAGGAGGGATAAAGGGAAGAGAGTAAGGGAAACTAAAGAAAAGAAAAGAAAAGAAAAGAAAAGAAAAGAAAAAAAAAAAGGTAACAGGGCTTGACAGATTGATGCTGCCACAATGTAGTTTCAACGCTATAGTAGCAAGTAAAGCAGCCTGTTACAAAGGGCCAGGGAGTATAACATTGGCAGGCACCTCATCTGTGGCACAGCTGCCTGCAGGGAAGAGAAAAAAATATAATGAACTACAATAATTTGTAACATCAAAAAAAAGAAAAAAAGAAAAAAAAAGATAAATAAATAAATAAAATAGATAAATAATAAATAAATAAATAGAATAAATTAAATAAACAAATAAATAGCATGATAAAATTCTGATATAGATGTTGATGTTGACTGTAGTGGAGGTGATGATGATGGTGATCAGGGCTGGAATTCTATGGATATTTGTCTGCTAAACAGAAGCAAAAGATGACTAACTATTGGTGATGTCATTACGGAATTTCTAAAGGCTGTATTTTTCTTATTTTGTATGACTACAGATGGTTTAATGTAAAAGAAAAGTGCTTAAAATAATACTGAGAAATTTTCCATGTTCAAATAAATCAAACATGAAAATTGCTGAAACCATCCTAGTATTAACTTGTATTATGCGGCAGACCGAATGTCATCGCAGTAGAAATTTCATCCGATGTCACTTCAGTTGGTCTTCTTGCTGGACATTGTCAGAGGCAGTCCCATAGTGTGACTTTACTCTTTCAGCCCTACAAAACACTCACTATGAATAGTCATATTCTTTTTAGATAAATCAAGTTTACAGTTCAATGTCGCATTTTCTTAAGTTATACATATAATATATTTTCTATGAAGAGAAGTGGGTGCATTTTTTGTTGTTGAATGTTACATTACTGGTTTGGTAATGTATTTATTGTATAATGTTATATGCAGTGCAATAAACAAGAAAGTAATGCAGGGAATCTTAGATTTACCAGACTTTGATCCTACGGACTGTAACTGTAGTCTAATATTCGTCTATCTATGATAGTGTGTGGTCTAATATTACGGTTTATATCAGTTTTCTATATCATCTGATGTTTAGAGAATGGAGGAAATGATGCTATGGAAAAGCTAACAGCCCTGGTGGTGATGATGGTGGTGGTGATGGTAGTGATGGTGATGATACTGGTGGTGATGATGATTGTGGTAGTGATGGTGGTAGTGATGGTAGATGAGGTGGTGATGATTGTAGTGATAGTGGTGGTGATAGTGGTAATGTGTGTGTGTGGTGTGGTGGTGGTGGTGATGTGATGTGATTGTAGTGGTGTTGGTAGTGATGGTGATGATGGTGGTAGTGATAGTGGTAGTGGTGGTGATGTTGGTGGTGGGGGTCATGGTACTGAGCATGTTGATGCTGATTATAACTATGATGAGGACAATGACAAATAAAGTTGATGACCATAACAATTATAACAGTTAAAAAAGTTAATAAATTATGCAGTAAACACCCCCCCAAAAAAAAAATATATATATAATCTAAATCACATTTAAAAAATACATTCAGGTTATTTGTATGCTTTCAAACAAATTAAAACTAATTTAATAACAATAAAAAATAAGTACAAATATGAAAAAAATACATATATATCAACAATTGCATTTTTTATGAATTATATGTATCTACAAAACAAAGAGACAGAAATGAGTGTGTGTGTGTGTGTGTGTGTGTGTGTGTGTGTGTGTGTGTGTGTGTGTGTGTGTGTGTGTGTGTGTGTGTGTGTGTGTGTGTGTGTGTGTGTGTGTGTGTGTGTGTGTGTGTGTGTGTGTGTTGTGTGTGTGTGTGTGTGTGTGTGTGTGTGTGTGTGTGTGTGTGTGTGTGTGTGTGTGTGTGTGTGTGTGTGTGTGTGTGTGTGTGTGCGCATGTATGTATGCATGTATGTATATATAGTTATATATATGTATATATGTATATATATGTATATATATGTATATACATGTATATACATGTTTATACATGTATATACATGTATATACATGTATATATGTATATATGTATATACATGTATATGTTTATATATATGTGTATATATGTATCATATATATGTATTTATATGTATTATATATATGTATATATGTATTATTATATGTAAAGATATGTATAGATATACATAGATATGTACAAATATAAGCATAAGTTTATGTATAGGTATAGTCATAGGTA